CCCCAAACTTGTGGTCTGAACTGAAGGAGGTAGTCCACAAGAACAAATCTAAAAATAGAATTTAAAAACAAAAGAGCTTGATGGTTTATATACAATTTCTGATGAATGCTGATAATTTTGCTAATTTTGAATATAATGGTGAAACAGCTGCATGTGTTATTTTTATGAGGGGTGCCAATCATTTTGGCCTGCTCAAAATGCACTTTGTGCATTTCTGATTTTTTTTTCTTCCCACCAATTGTCAGATTGTTTACATTGTGATGTGGCATGCCTACACAGTCGTGATGAGGAGATAAATCTGAATTAGCGCATATTGACAGAGGCTTAAAATGGTGGAATTTGAATGACATGTCATAATTTGGTTCTCTTCCATCTTAAAATATATTAAAATGACATTTCCACACTGCACACATCTACGCATATGATGGCACTTTAATTGTATTTTTGCTGCTGATCATTGTTACCTAATCAGCTCTGTTGCCTAAAGATTTGCTTAGCAATAATTAATTAGCATTATTATTTGTTCTTACAGTTGTTGTATTGGAACAAACTTATTTCATTACCTTAGGGAGAATACAGTAATATGTGATCTGTCAGAAATAGCAGTGATTGCTAGGCAACAGACAGCTCTTTATGCATTACTAAACAAATAGGTTTATTTCTGAAAATAGGATGACTAATTCTTCATTAACAGAATCTTTAGCAGAAAAGCATTGATGGAAGTGTGGTTAGCAAAAGCAGCTTCACAAGAAGGAATGCTTGTAGTCCAGGTTGTTTCTTTTTATTGAAATTTTGTAAAATAAATGAATATAAAATAAAATGAATGAATGAATGCACTGAATGCACTGTATTACTTGAGTAAATCTTCCTAGGCACATTTCTTCCGCAGGGTAACAGGTGAGACAAAAGTTTTCAGTAAGAAGGCTAGACTTAGGCCAAGGTCAAGGTCAAGGTCAACTTGCCCTGTTCTGAAAACTGAGATACTGAAGGATAACAGTACAGAGATGGTTTATCAAATTCACTCCTTAAACTGAAGGCTTTATGTTGCATGCTTAATATGGGCATTATAAATGTGGGCATGACTTTAATATATATTGATTTTTACTTTGAATTTAAACTAATTTTACATGTTTCATGTCGTATCCCCAAACAAAGTCAGAAGCAAAGAATTAGCACTTATGAAGCAGAAAGTTTAAGATGAATGTCCATGAAATCAAATACACATTACATCATTCACAGCTATAGGCAAAGGCACAATGTCAATAGGACAAAACTGCAGTCGACTGTTAAAACACCATAGTAAAGGTCTTTAGACCATCTTATTTGCCACTATAACTATCTATAACTGTATCTTTAATATCTTTTACTGTGTCACTGATGCAGGGCAAGACAATCTAAGTTCCAAAAATGTGCCTGCATTTAATCATACTTAATATAAGTGCAAACTTATCAATGTAGAGGTTGTCATGTACTTATACTACAGTGCTGTTGAATTCTTAAATGTTACTATGAAAAGGGGTTGATTAATTTTCTAACAGCAGACATTGTGCTTTGCAGTTTCTCAGTTATGTGACAAGCTGAATTTTTTTTCTTATTAGCCTAAAAACAGAGGGGGGGGGGATGCTGATGAAGAGCTGACTGTTTATAGTCTTATATCAAAAGTGATAACAGAGACTAACTTCTTTCCACAACATTAGATGTCACGAGACATTCTTTAATATATTAGCAAATTGCTGTGATTTAAGAGGAATAAAACACTTCAGAACATGCTGTTATACATGCTGAAAATAATCAACTTCCACTTCCCTGTCATTCTGCCGCATCACACCATCTCATCATTGATTATTTTTTTCTATAAAAGCATGCTGCATTGTGTTTTACTGCTTACATACTAGGGCTAAAATGAATTTTGAAAATGGGTGAAAGTGAAAAAGATAGAGAGGTCTGTTCAATCTGTAAGTACAAGGACATTCAGTATAAGGACACTCGAGATGATCCAGCAGCGACAGTGTCCCTTTGTGTATTTAGCTGAGTTTAGTGTTCCCGAACTTTACGGATGTATATAAGTTATGTAACTGAATATGAATACATTATTCAGACTTAACAAAGTATGTCTTCTAAACATACAAATACAGATATGACTAGGATTTTGGTTTTTTGTTTTGTTTTGCTTTTCTGTTGTTGTCGAACTTGTCTTCTGGTTTATGGTTGTGTTGGAGCTCCAGACCCAAGCTCCAGACTTGATCTTCCATGCGTAATGCATGTCTGCTGGCTATGGAGTGCACCAGCATGTCTACTGTTTTTGTCCATTGCAGGGAGGTTTGCTCTGCAGCGATGTGCCTGTGCTTGCTTTGTGTAGCACTTGCGCAAATACGATTTCTGTTTAACATTTCTGTTTTAAAATGTCCCCCCTGACATTTCCCAGCAGAGCCACTGCTGCACATAGCCCGCACAATCCACTCATTGTAACCGGGGAGGATTTCTCTGCTGGAGTCTCCAAAAAGATATTTTTATCCATATTAACTTGTACATTCATTGCATGTTTTTGTTCTTTATCATCATTAAATGATAACCTTACTGGGAAAATTCTACAGGCAGTACAAATGATTTGTTGTTATGTACTGTGTTAATGAAAAATTATGACTTTTTCCAGCAGTCCCCAGTGTTTTCCAAAAAAAAAAAAAAAAAAAAAAATCAGTTTAGGCCACACCTACTTCAAATCCAAATATAGATACAGACATTTGTAGCACTAAACAGATACAGATAGTGGCACATATAGTAGTTACACATACAATTAAACATACAATTAAATTAATGTTAATTAAGGGTTTTGTACAATATAATGTTCTCCACCATTGTGGCATTATGAAGGACCTTTGTTTCTATGAAATGACCTCTCTTAGCAATAAAGAATAAATCCAGTGGTACTTAGGTTTTATACTGCTGTGTAACAATGCCACTGTTCAACCGAATTAAGGAGTCATAATATGAACCCTGAAGGTGCATAACCATTCATCAGTGTCATGACTCCTCTACTTCTTGACCCATATAATCACACACAAGTAGGGGGTGAATGCTGCTCTGAATATTTAATCAAGAAATTATTGGCCACCGCTGACAGTTAAAGGAACAGTGGCCCTTTTACAATGTCCCAACTTCCCCAGCAGGATTTAACACATGACATGTGTCCCACTAGATAATAACCTACTCCACTCCACACACATATATATGTATATGTGTATATACTCTCCCACTCGAACCTCTGTGACATTGGCATGTGCTACTGCCTCTAATCTCTTCTTATCAGGGAGTTGGAGTAAACTCAGCATTGTTGGGCAAATATCAATAATTCTGCCACTTGATTTCACAGCAAGAGGTCACCTTTCCTGGTCCGGTTTTACTGATGGGATCAAGCGTGGCGCAGCAGCAGATTCAAGGTCAGCCAGGAGGTACTCGGGCAGAATCTTAATGCTCCAGGTGTAGAGCGCATCACCTTCCTTCATGTGCACAGACTCAAACCTCCTCTTTCCAATTACTGTGTCAACAGCTTATCGACCTGATTACAGATCATAGCAGATAGGAGAATGAATTTGTGTGTGTCTTATGTGCAAGTTATCGTAGCTAGTTCACAAACATTGCATCTCTTAAGATGGCTGTTCCTTAACTACATAGTGTTTGCAGGTATCTTTACATGCAGTTATGTCTGTTTCCCATCTCTCACATTGTTGCAGAGTGAAGCTCATTTTGGACATTTCACTTAAAATCCTTATTGTCACACACTGTCATGTCCATGATTGGCATTTTAAAAACCTCTGCTGTAGGAGCTGTTTCCATTCTGCTGTGATATTCTGCTGATAGTTGAACACTCAAGACCCCACAAGCTGTTCATCTGATGAGTATTTTGGTACTTCACATATCAATGTTTGTAAATGAGGCCAAGCAAATTTGTGCAGATGTTTAGCAGCTGAGTGAAAATTAAAAAAAGCTTGTCAGGTGCTTTATTCTGAACCTCAGAGAGAACCACTTATAGATCACTTACAATCAACTCATGATTTCTTAGATTAAAATGAGAAAAAATGAATATATAAAATATTTTTTGTAAATAGTGCATTTTTCTACAAAATGCTAGTATCTAAATGATCAGCCCCCCTACGATTTAAATTTAGTGAGGACTCCACTGGAGTAAATAACAGCTCTGAACCACTTGTCATAATGTTTAACAAGGTTTTAAAAAAAAATTTTAAATAAAAATACTTCCATCTTGACAACTCTACATTTTTGTTTGATTTTGGTCTCATCTGACTGCGTTTTATATATATTTATATATGTTCCTGTTTGTAGAGAATGGAGAGTGAAAAATACAGGTGAAACTACATGAAATGCAATAAACAAACATTACTGCTGTTCATTTGTGACATGCAGACAACGTGCCACACTGAAAAGCAAAACCTTCAATGCATTTCTCTTCCACTGATTAATCTCTTTAATGAAAAACATTCAACGGGAGACTGGAAAGTGTGTTTTTACTGTGCTATTCTGTTAAAAAAGAAAAGTCAATAATAACAGTGAAAGAACATGAAATGCAACACACAACCAGTATTTTTTTTTTTTGAGTGAAAAAAAATGCCTTCACTGCATTGGTCTTTATTCACTTGATCTCTTCAGTAAAAAAAAATCAGCAGGTAATTACTTTTTTAAAAAGAATTAAAGGGGCATTAGTTAAGATTAGTCCTTTATTTTTAGTGAAGTGAAGTGACGTGTAGCCAAGTATGGTGACCCATACTCAGAATTTGTGCTCTGCATTTAACCCATCTAAGTGAACACACACACGCACCGTGAACACACACCCGGAGCAGTGGGCAGCCTTTTTTTTTTTTTTTTTTTTTTTTTTTTTTGCTGCAGCGCCCGGGGTTCGGTGCCTTGCTCAAGGGTCTCACCTCAGTCGTGGTATTGAGGGTGGAAGAGAGCGCTGGTCATTCACTCCCCCCACCTACAATCCCTGCCAGACCTAAGACTCGAACCCACGACCTTCAGGTTACAAGTCCGACTCTCTGACCATTAGGCCACGACTGCCCCCATTGATTGATTGATTGATTGATTGATTGATTGATTGATTGATTGATTGATTGATTGATTGATTGATTGATTGATTGATTGATTGATTGATGGATGGATGTATGTATGTATGTATGTATGTATGTATGTATGTATGTATGTATGTATGAATGAATGAATGAATGAATGAATGAATATTAGGTTTCTAATGGTTACATTTGAATGATTTTATTTTTTTTTTTTGGTCTATGGTGGCCTGTTCGCAAGTTCAGAGTTAGCAAGTTCAGCTAGCCTTAGCAAGGAATGAGGTAGGCTGTTTATTTATTAAGGGCGTTGTCGGACTTTGTTATTTAGATACAGGTTTAAAAAAACTACCTACAGAATAATGATTATAATAATAGAGAAGAGGGGGGAAACATAATAATGAACAGTAGTGTAGTAAGAATAATAATACACAGCAAAATTATAAAGCACTGCCTTATGTGTCATCAGTATACTGGTTGGCTGATATTAACATTTTAGCATTTAGCTTTTGCCCACTCAGACATTCAGTTGCTTGAAAGCCAAGTTAAAGCAACAGAAGCATGCAGAATGTGGCTTGTACCAATTTATACGGATGGTTAATAGTGCCTATGCTGCCCTGTTTTTTTCCTTTCTAATGAGTTTTAATGAGATTTCAGCTGAAACTGATGCTGTTAGCATAGCTACATCTAACATTACAGGCATTTCAAGGTGATTGATCCAAAGCATTTCTCTACCTGGCTCTCTAAGTGGTGAAAACCAATCTAATGCTTATGCCATTATGTAAAGAAGGCAAATCAATAAGCTTTATACAGATTGCATATACAGACCTGCCCAGAAGCAACACTACTAATTCCATGTCTAGCTTCATCCCCTTCACCAGTAATAAAATATTCCATCTTGAAAAAGCACATTGTTTATTCTGGTTTTATTGCATTTTTTTCTTAAGTTTGTCTCCAAACACAGCATGTATTTTGCTAAAACAAGAATTATCTGCCTGCACTGAGAGATTACAGGCTTGAGCCGTGTTTTTTCCTCTCCAAATAAACTGACATGGGGGATGGAGTGGAGGAGCGCTCTGTCCACTTCTGGTCCAGAAGGCAGTTTTACAGACGAGTTTTCTCAGCCACAAAACACACTTGAGCTGAGGCAATGGCTTAAACCATTATTTTCATCTTGTTTTGCATATTTTCCCGGTTATTTTTTCCATGTAAGATATATACACAGCACTATTGACTACTGCACCATTAAATGCTGATTTTTTTTTAAACAAGAGTGAATGTAATTGCTCAGTGCATTATATTTGGAAGCTGTAGCACACTGAAATGCAATCACAAGTACAGTGCTAAACTGCACATGGGTTGTGTCATTATGTGAAGTTCACAGGTCAGCTACACATATGGTAGCGGCAATGGTGTAAACAAAACATGCTGATGCTAACAAAAAAATCTTTAAACTCAAGCTTACTTTCAAGAAGCTCGGATCACATTCATTTATGATGTAAACAGAAAGTAGCAATTTTATTTCAGGTCTGTTGTTAGAGGATCTTCATCTTATAATCTGACATGGAGAACACACATTATTGCACAATCTGTTACAGACTTGGACCAAGGTTTTATTGGGATCATCCCTTACAGTGTAATACAAGTAATAATCTTAAAAGACTGCTGTAATTGCACTTCTAAAACCAGCTTTAGACTTATCTTCAGCAAAGACTAGGATCAACATTTATTACAGAAATTCTTGCAGCGTTTCAGAACAGCATCATTCTGTAATTGAGTTGCTATGCTGACATTTCATGGCTATTTGTTCTTGCTGAGCGCGTATGTATATGTATTTTATTTTGGTCTTGTGCATATAACATATCATCGTGTATATCCTGCCACAGTGTATATGTGCAGCTGATGAGACTGTATAAGCAAACCACTAAGAGCAAATGCATATTGATGGCTGTTCATTTTACAGAAAAATGTGGATACAACTCCATTGACAGAATGCATTTCAAATTCTTTCACTGCAATGATTGATTTTCTATCTTAAAAGGAATCACATGGAATAATTTGTTTGCATCAATAATTTTTTCCCCTTTATCGTTTTTGGAGAAAATACTAAAATTAAAAATATTTAAATCTTATAAGAGGGATCTTTGTTATCTGTGTGTGTATGTGTGTGTATATATATATATATATATATACACACACACACACACACACACATATATATATATATATATATATATATATATATATATATATACAGTCATGTGAAAAAATTAGGACACCGCATTGAATATTCAGTTCTTTATTAAGAAATGTCAACATGTCAATTTCTGATCTTGTTTTAATTGCAATTGTAATTGCATGTAAACAACAAAAAAATCACTTTGTTTTCACTTATTAAACAAAAGAAATCAACAAAAATGAGTATTTCAGCTGAGGAAAAAGTTAGGACACCCTATGCCCTAATAGCTAGTGTTTCCCCCTTTGGCTGAAATAACCTCAGTGAGACGTTTCTTGTAGCCATCTACCAGTTTCTGACATCGACTGGAAGAAAGTTTCCCCCACTCCTCAATGCAGAATTCATTTACATTTACATTTATGGCATTTGGCAGATGCCCTTATCCAGAGCGACTTACATTTATCTCATTTATACAACTGAGCAGTTGAGGGTTAAGGGCCTTGCTCAAGGGCCCAGCAGTGGCAGCTTGGCGGTGCTGGGGATTGAACTCATGACCTTTCGATCAGTAGCCCAACGTTGTAGTTCAGTTGTGTGATGTTTGAGGGGTTTCCTGCATGCACAGTCCGTTTCAAATCACCCCACAGGATCTCAATAGGATTTAGATCTGGGCTTTGACTTGGCCATTCCAGAAATCTCCATTTTTTACTTTCAGCCAGTCCTTGGTGGATTTACTGGTATGTTTTGGGTCATTGTCATGTTGCAAGGTCCAGTTCCGCTTCAGCTTCAATTTTGTGACAGATGGTCTCACATGTTCATCAAGCACCTTCTAATACAATGTGGAATTCATAGTGGATTCTATGATGGTGAGCTGGCCAGATACTGCTGCAGCATAGCGTCCCAAACCATAACACTTCCACCGCCATGTTTCACAGTTGGTATGAGGTTCTGTGTGTATGTTCTTTGGCAAACTTCAGTCTTGCCCTCATGTTTTTCTTCGACAGCAAAGGTTTCCTCCTTGCACACCTCCCATGATAATTAAAGTTGTGTAGTCTCTTTCTGATTGTAGATTCATGCACTTTGACATCAACTGTAGAGCTTGCTGTAGGTCCCGTGATGATATTTTAGGGTTTTTGGAGACTTCTTTAAGCATCTTGCGGTCTGCTCTTGGGGTGAATGTGCTTGGACAGCCTGACCTGGCCATGTTGGCAGTTTTAAATGTTCTCCACTTGTAAATTATTTTCCGGACAGCGGAATGGTTGATTACAAATTATTTTGAGATCTTTTTTATATCCCTCACCAGACTCATAAGCTTCAACAATCTTCTTTCTGAAGGCCTAAGAGAGCTCTTTGGATCTCACCATAGTGATACCTCTCACTTCAACAATTAAAAGCAAACCAAACTAAATGTCTGAGGTTTAAATAATGCAATCCTCCTTCAAAATGCTCTGTAACAATGTTCTAATAATTTGCACCTGATGTGATACACCTGTAGGTAATTTTAGCCATTTTAAGTACAGATAAATGTGGGGGTGTCCTTACTTTTTCCTCACAAGAAATTGGATTTTTTTTAAATTACATTTTACAGATCGTTTTAAAAACACTTTTCTTTGGTTTAGTTATATTACTTGAATCTCCCAATATTGTTAAAATGAAGGTCAAATGTCCATATGTTTAACTATGTTAAAAAAAAAACACAGGCTATTATGGGGTGTCCTAATCCACCTGCACTGTGAAGCAGCATCCTATCAGTTTTGGCTGAATGTGAGCAGAGAGTATAGCCCTATACACCTCAGAATTCATCTTGCTACTTCTGTCAGCAGTCACATCATCAATAAACACCAGTGAGCCCGTTCCATTGGCAGCCATACATGCCCATGCCATACCACTTCCTTATACTTTGGATCATGAGCTGTTCCTTTCTTTCGCCATATTCTTCTCTTCCCATCATTCTGGTACAAGTTAATCTTGGTTTCATCAGTCCAAAGAATCTTATTCCAGAACATGGGAGGCTATTTTAAATGTTTTCTGGCAAAGTCTAATCTGGCTTTCATGTTCTTGAATGTTACCAGTGGTATCTGTATTTACATTCATGAAGGGTTCTCTTGATTGTAGATTTTGACAATGATACGCCTACCTTCTCCAGAGTATTCATGACTTTTGTTGATGTTGTGAAGGGGTTTTTCTTCACCAAGGAAAGTATTCTGAGATCATCCACTTTAGTTGTCTTCCATGGTCTTCCAGGCCTTTTGATGTTGTTGAGCTCACCAGTGCTTTCTTTCTTTTTAAAAATGTACCAAATTGTTGATTTGGCCACTCTTAAAGTTCCTTCTATCTCTCTGATAATTTTTTTTTTTTCATCCTAATGATGGCCTCCTTCACTTGCATTGAGATCTCCTTGGACTTCATATTGGTAGCTCCAGTTGAACAGCTGCCAAATGCCAACTCACTACCTGATATCAACTCCAGACCTTTTATCTGCTTCATTTGTCTTGAAGTAACGAGGGAATGGACCGCACCTGGTCAATTAACTTCTTGTCAGTCGATTGTCCAAATACCTCTGAGCCCCTGAAAATGGAAGAATTTTGCTTAAAATGGCTGTAATTCCTAAATGGCAAATGCCATATTTTTGTGGAACCTCTTAAAATAAAGCTGAAAGTCTACACTTCAGTCTTACATTTTGATTGTTTTATTTCAAATCCATTGTGGTGGTGTGTAAAGGCAAAATCACAAAAACTGTCATTGTCCAAATACTTCCGAACCTGACTGTGTATGTTATATATATATATATATACACAATACTGTGCAAAAGTCTTAGGCACA